GTTGTGTTCATCTAAAACCAAACCAAAGAAAAAAAGGAACAAAGAAAGACTCACTTCATCATTTAGAGCAGAACTGGTCACTTTATTTGATCAAATACAACACATGTAATAGCATGCAGTATACAAAAACACAGTTGAGTTTTACCCCTTAAGAGTTCTTAAAGATTAGCTTGGTAGGAAAACATAAATGAAATGCAATTGTCATTGGCATTTTATATACAGATGAGAGTAATATCACATGTCTACCATTTGAATGTCATTTTAGTATCTGTTTAACCAAACTGACTTTATTGTTTAAAAAACAATGACATCTTATCTCAAGATGTTTGGTTAATAAAAGTATGACTTTTAATGGCTAAATCTGGATAATTATCAAATGGAAATTCATCTATTCAAATTCTACATATTATTTCTGTTCTTTTTCTATGTAATATTTAAAACAGCTAAATAATGTATCATACCCTAGATGCAATACAAGCCATGTTCTCTCAGTGCATATTTCTCTAAAGGTCATATCCTCCAACTACCTCGTCGTGCATCTTTTCTCTTGGACCCCTACGCCTTTAGCAAGCGAGATGGAGATACAATCTGAACTGCCTGTCAATCCACCGTGCCTGTGTGGGCCTGTTGTCAGTGGGAGGCGAAGGGGGGAGACAGGCAGAGAGAAAACAAATGCCATCATCAGCATATCGTGACGCTATTCCGTTTGACGTTCAGATGAGATCTGGGACACAGTTGCATTCATCGTTCAGCGAGCTTTTCTACATAGTTAAACCCACCGACAGCAATGAATGTTAATTGTGACCTTTGCTGTGGTTTGGAAGCTGAGTGTTGACGCTGGATGCCGTTCTCTTCATTGGATTTTTCGTTTCTGCTTGTGTCTTACCTTTTTGCCTTCTTTTTAGGGACACTGAGTGACAAAAGGCTGGCCACAGGGTACAATCAACGGTCGATGGTTTTCAATTTCGTTGAAACTCACCGACAGCGTTGAATGTTCACTGGGGCGAGCATAGACCTGATGGTGACCAGGGATGACAGGCTGCTTAGAGATGCAGAGGAAGCAGGACTTCTGTGTGGGTGGAGAGCCATCTTACTTCCCCCCCCCCCCCTCACTAAATCACTTTTTTATTCTCTGAGCCGGAAAGGACACTAAAAAAAAGTCGTACTTTGATGATGCCATCTATTCCATTCGGCAAAGGAATACAGACATCGAATCAATATTCTTCTTGGGCTTAACATTAGGAGTTTGCCTTGTAGAGACCTGCTGATAAATATATTGATATGCATGCTTAAAAAAAAAAGAAATGCAGCTTTTTGTACTCTTTGCACCTGATGTTGGCCATTCACATATAAGAGACATGATTCATATACAAACAGAAACATGCTGTTATGTATGTGTGTGTGTATAAAATGCAATTTATGAGAATTATTTAAATAACTGTGGTCCCCTGTGCAAAAAAGCAGTACCTACTTTGGATAGGATCGAGTGCTGCATGCACTATTAATATCCATAACACATGGTCATTATGTCACAGTGTCAGTGTGCAGGAACACATTTCCCTTTATAGCAGTTAGAAGAGGGAAGTCATCTCGAAACTCCTGAGTCATAGTGGGTTTTTACACGCAGCACCTGGGTGGAGGCTGCAGCCAAATGCTTTGTTAAAGCACAGCAGCGTGGCCCCTTATAGACACCAACAAGTCTTTGTGCAAGGTGGAGGATGAGGAAGACTTTTGAGTATGAAACTGTTGACTCACCCAGATCAACAGCATATGGTGTTTTGCTATGATGTGGCACTGTGGCTGAAGTCTAGGGTGTTTTTCTTTTTCTCTTCATGTACTAATACCAGTAAGGAAACTGTCCGCTATCTTGTATGAAGGTTTATTACACATTGCTGAATCATTGTTCATCACCATGAGCATGAGAAACCCGCAGACTTTGTAAGAAGCAGATCAATCAAATGCCACAGAGCTGCTGTTGCAATTAGATACGACTTGACAATAAAACTGTGGCAGTGAGTCAAGATGTGGTGGATGATAAATAAGGTACTGGAACTCTTTTACAGCAGGATAAAGAGTGACCAAGATGAAGTGGTGAATATCTCTGGTTCTGCTAAACACTATTTTCACACAGGAAAACAGAAAGTTAAAAATAACACTGACTCTGAAAGCCTTTACTATTTAGAAAAACACTGAGTATAAACATGTGAAGATTTTTTCACAACTGAAAGCAACGATTGTGTTGTTTCCGTTTTATTCTTTGGATCAAAAGAGCTGCTTTTACTTTGTCAGTTTCTGTTTTACTCAGCCCTCTGAAAAACGTACACGTCACCCAAGCTCGGGCCAAAAAGCACAGTCCTTGCTGCGAGGGACACTGCTAATTCGGCATCTCTCCACTGTCCCGAACAGTGATTTGAGTGACAGTGTTGGAATTGACAGAAGTGGATGAGAAGTAATGTTGCTTTATAAGGTCTTCTCTGGCCGCAGGACGAGGGTGACAGCATACAAAAAGAAAAGATCCTGGACACGCAACCAGAGAGAGAGAAGGGCCCTGAGCTGACAATGTGGCCCTAATCTGAATGACAAGGTCTGCACATTAGCCCTCAAACCAGCCTGTCCTGGGTGTGGGTGGTAGATGATGAGGCAGCTAAGGGGGGAGAGGAAGACGAAGATAGAGAGTGAGAAGAATGAGAAGAGACAGGGGTGGGGGAGGAGGGAGAGGGCAGGCAAGGGTGTCCTTCCTTCAAACATGCTGGCCTTAATGGCACAGACAGCTCTGACATTTAAGCACTGAATCATTTTTAGATAAGTGGATGTGGTAGTTTGTGTGGGGAGAGCTGTGACTTGTAAAGATTTTAGGAGGCGCTTTTATGGCTAAATATAAAGAGCTTTGAATAAGACAAGACAAACGCTAAGGAATAATGGTGTTCAAAGAACATGGACAATCGGCCTAATGGCTAAAACAACTTCAATTCACGGTTTGATAGAACAGAGGAGAAGCAAGTTGGTGACATAAAGAGGTATTCAATTGCTGTACCAGTTGGAAAAATATGTGCAGAACCCGTAACTGATAGTACTAAATGATTTAGTCTTGAGCACTAACATAACTGGCAGTTGGTATGGTGAAGCTTCGCAGTAGGAAGCCAAAACGCCAATGGGCATCACTCAAGGTGGAATTGGTGTGAATGTGACACAGATAAAAGCCAATATGCTGAGCAAATTGTGGATAAAGGAAAGCTGTGAAAAAAAGAGGAATGTCAAACCTGCTCCAAGGTGCGCTAACAAAAGAAGACTAGCAGAACAAGTTTGTGTAACGGATACTGTCAAAGTGTCACAATTAGTACCGGGACACTGTCAAAACACCTCAGTAAATTCAGAATGACAGATCATTCTGGAAGTGATTGAATTACTCCTAAATAACAAAAGAACCATCGCTGCTCGACATTAAAGAAGCGTGAGAATGTGCTGTTCTTTATTAATGTCAAAGGATATCCTTTCATCATCTGTGGAGAAGGGAGAATATTGGGCTAAAAATGTGCTACCTTTTGCCAACGTAAGAGCATATATTCTTGCTCTATTCATCCATCTCACTTTGTAAGAGATCTGGGTAAAAAACTAAAACTCAAAATGTCCAAAGCCTGTTTTGTAAATGTAGGCTGTGCTGAATTAGATGCCTCTTATTGCATTGGTACATTTGTCTTCACGGCTTTTAATACAGTATTTGGTCTTTTTTTTTTTCCATGTATCTGAAAAGGTTCTTAAAAATAAAAATCTTTCTGGGAGATTTTCATCAGACTCAAAATATTTGGTTTGTAAGAAAAACACTTAAGTGGAATCCTCAGTTCATGTGTGTCTCCCCTTCATTCTGTATGTCCCTCTCCCTTTCTCTCCCTCTCAGGAGGGGGAGGAGGACATTCCTGGTGAAGGTGCTGTGAGTTGATGCTCTCTGTCTGCAGGTAGAGACCGGCTTCCTCCTGTCTGCCTGTCTACAGATATCATACGTGATCTGTTTAGCTGCCTGACTTAATGCTCACCTGCTCATGTGCCTCCGGCTCAGTGTGTGTGTGTTTATGTGAGTTGACTTTTTCGGTCTCCTCACAGCTGGAAAGGCGTCTACCCCCGTATCTTCTGCCCTGCAATTAGAGACACAAAAACACATGGAGAAAAGATGATATAGACTTTTACAAAACTGACAAGATCTTACTAATTCAAAAAACTGATCCAATATATCTTCTGGCAAACAATAAACAGTTTACAAGAAAATGCACACAAGCTGGGCTGGAGAGAATGAGGCTGATTATGATTATAGTAATTGAGGGAATGTAAGTGAAGAAGGCTGTGTGCGCACAGAATCATGGACATGAAACCCCCTAACATTTGAAAAGAAATTACCATAACTAGAAATAATGTGCATTTCTATCTAAGTTCAAAGCATTTTCATCCTTAGAGGTCCTTTGTACATCTAAAAACATAGAAAAGGGGGTTGAATCCCACTTGTGCAAACATTGGCTGCTTTTTCTCTGTGTTAAAATGCTTTGGAAGCCTCGTGTGCCAAGATTAATATTATGTTGTATATTTTTAAGATATTTCATCCTCAGGTTGTCACGGCGCTGACAGATGCAGGCTGACGTGTACAGCCACGCTCACAAAACACACGGACACACTTGAGTAGGGTCTGAGTCCAGCTGGAGGTGGTCTCCTGCCAAACCTGCAGGCAGGCTGACTGTATTCATATTCATCACACACACTGTGATTGGAACTGACAGGACACCCCCACACACACACACAGTGATTGGGACTGACAAACACACACAGATGGGAAAAATAATCTACTGGTGAGCAAATCAATATTTCAAGGGCAATCTGCTATCCTAAAAAAATATATAACAAGAAACCCTTTTGCCACCTCTGCTGCATTATTCTTTCTTATTTTAGGTGTGAGAGAGTCAGCCACAATTGGATGTAGACTAGCAGCAGTGAATAATGTCATGAGAGAGGAGCAGACTGAGGAGAACAATCGAGAAGTGAATAATGGCCAATAGGCTGGGAGAGCGACATGAGCGAGAGAGATGGATGAAGAGTGCCGCTCTCTCTCTCGCTCAACCACACACACACACTCACACAAAGCAGAGACTCTGCAGGGCGCCAAATAATAACCCTCCTTGTCATTATCATCGCCCAGCCAAACCGCTCTCCACTCCTCCCCCCTCCGTCTTCAACACAATCATTGCCCTATCGTTTACAGTGGGCTGCTAAATGGGAACATCAATAGACACATCCATTAGCAGCGCAAGTCCTTTCCTCTCTTATTCTCAAGTGCTTTAATAGCCGGCACACGCACACACACACTCTCTCATGCCGCACCTCGGCCGACTGTTAACCAAACTAGCCCTGCGCCGGATAAGCCGAACTGATGGAGTGTGTCATTAAAGCCGGTTAGTAACACGGTTGCTGTGAGGGCGGTGCTGCCATTTAACCTAAAGCTGGAAACATCTGGTTTATTCTTTTATTTGCTTCTCTAGAATTTATTTTTTCATTTTGTATCTAAATCTATACTGTTGGCTGAGTGGTTGAAATACATGTTGAACTAATTAAGTACTGTTATTATATCCATTAGTAATATATTAATAAACACTTATTTGTATAATTAAAGGACATTTAGGGCACAAGACCACCTTTTTAACCTTTGTCTGAACTGGAGTAACTGTACATTAGCATGGACAGCTGTTTTACAGTTTAATGAATGAATAAAGAGACCCTACCCAAACCATTCTAAAACAGTAGCGAAATGAGGAAAAGATAAGAAGGGACAAGATGGGCAAACAGAGGGAGTGAGAGAGGGAGGGAAGGGTTTCCCACAATGCCGCATCACGCACTGTAATTTCAGCACGCATGTTTTCTTTTGGATGGAGGGCGAAGCAGGATGCTGGGAAGCCTGGGAGGGGCACTGGGTGAGTAAGGGGGGCTGGATATGGGGGTTTGTGGGATGTGTGGTGCGGCCGTTAAACTTGACTTGACTCAGGATTGGTTTTGACTGAAATAGAGAAAATATGAAGCAGGCTTTGTGCTTGCTCACACACACACACACACAGACACACACTAAACATGGCATGCATGGCCGTAGACACACAATTAAAATAGCATTGAATAAATAAAGATTTGCTCCAAAATAAGTCACCCCCTTTTTAAAAAGTCTATTTACTAGCACCAATATAGTATTTTTTACAAGTTAAATGAATTCAGCAAATTATTTTTGTATTAGTCAATTCAGAGCATTTTGGAATAGAAGTCAGTATCCAATTTGTCTTTAAACTACTAAGAGGAGAACATAGCGGTGGATAATGAGTTTGTTTCCTCACATTCACACCATTACTATTCCCCTAACTCGGTGGTCTCTGATTCTTACCATAACAGGCATGTGTGTGTGTGAGGCAGGGTGGGGGGAGACCGCAGACAGACTGTGCCGCTGCATGTGTGCGTTTGAATTTGTGTCTCCTTCATGTCTGGACCTGGACAGAAAACAAACAGAGAAGAAGAAAGAACAGGATAAATTCAGGTGTTGTTTGGTAAACCATGTTATTAAAATGTCACACACACACATCCACTCTTTGATGTGCACTTCAATGATTCAACAGGACAGACTGATGTGTGTAAGCGTATTAGCTGTAAGTCGGCACTTTCATGTCATATGTTCAACAAGCCCACTCACAACTAAATTCCTATTTACACTCTGGGTGGTCTTGAGAAACAATGACAAGCAGCCGCCGTGTGTGTACATTATCACATGATTCTTCTTATAATAAAAAACGTTTGGACCTAGGCTGAGTGGATGAAAGCCAACTACTGTGATGCCCAAGAACAAGAGACACTCTAACAAAAACATATGGAATCAGCCTTTGAAGCCAATTTGTAAAAACAGATGTAGATAAAAGATGGGAAGAAGTGATTGCGTGTCGCCACGGCTTTTATGTCTCTCCTGATAAAGCTGAAATGTCACTAATGTGCTTCTTCGTGGGGCCCTAGCCTAAATAAAAATAATGTCTGTGTTTGACATGCCCACAGCACGGTGAGGCTGGGAGTGATGAGACAGAATGAATTATAACAAATAATTTCTGATCGTAACATCTAAAGTTGACCAGATGGTATTCATCTTAACCTGAAACTATATTGAATATACCAATAAAATGAGCTAACAGAGTCATGTCATTGACTTTCTTTCAATGAGATGTCAAAAGAAAAGTATTATAAAAGGATAAAACATTTTCTATGTGTCTATTTGAAAGGCTAACGCTGCACTTTTTCTGCCACCTTTTTTACCCTAGCTAAAGAAAAGAAGAATTGGAGGGAGAAGTCAAATAGGGCTGCAGATGGTGATACTTCTCATGTTTCTTGTTATTATCATTACTAGTATCATTAAAATACATGACTGTTTTTCCGTCATAGTCATTCTCCCCTGATGTTTTCTTTGATTCGAGGGCCATTTGGTCTCCCATGTGACTTATAATGAGTGCAACTGTGTATTCTGAAAGCTGTGGGTTCATGTGTAGTCAATAATTAAAAACACATTAAAATTACTGTACAAGACATATTCATCACTTTAGTAACTACTGCCCTTATTTATGTCTTTGAGCACCTTGATGTTCGTAGTCCTTGTAGTCGAAGGCTGTCATAGTCCTCTTTGCATCAGGAAAAATGTTGTCCTTTGCAAAGTCTACATTTGCTGTTTTAGCATTTATGTCCCAACCAGTTTTATTTTTGGTGTTGTGTAAACATTGTAAATATGGAAGTCTTAACCTTTAACGGGATCCAGGACAAGTTTGACGATCCTAAACTACACATTTCTGTGTGTCTGAGTCTAAGGCCAACTTCAACCTTGACATTTGATTTGCAGTAGTAGTATGTTATGCTCTCATCAATCTTCTTTTTCTTTCATATGTCATGCAGTGAGTCCCATGTATATTTTTAAACAATCTAGATTCAGCTTTATGAAACACTCGCTAGATGGCTGTAATAAATGGAGCTGAAAATGTCCTATACGTACAATCTTAAAACCTATTTGCAAATGAAAAACATCACACAAAGAAGAGGAATCTTTCCAAAGGGTTGTTTAAAGGTGGCTTGCTAACACAGTGAAATATTGTTCCTCTGAATTCCTCTCACCACTCAGAGAAAGAACAATGATTGACCTTGGCCAGATGAAAAATTGCCTCAATTGTTAATACTTCACTATGATGTTAAATACAGTAAAACAGCTGAAGGAGAAATTAAACCTTTTATGCTGCTTAAGAACTGTGCCCCTTGTTTCTCTTTCTAAAGTCCCACTCTGTTCAATTGCCTGCATCTGCCAGAATATGCAATTTACTATTTCTGTCTTGCAGAGGAAATGTATCCTTCAGCTACTGCTTTTGTACGTAGCTTCCTACAACTGCTAGGTTTTTATAACCACGTCCTGCATCATTTCTCTCCTACTTCTCCATTTCTCTCTCATTGTTTTTGTTCTCTCAAACTCCCATCACTCCCTTTCTCTGCTCCAGTAAGCAGACTTGCTGAACCAAGGGAGGGGACCTCAGTCATTAGGGTCCCGGCACTGAGTCACCAATTCATGCCCTGATTAACAGATCCATGTGCTGCTCAGTACATGAAAAAAAGATGGAGGCCACCCACATTTTTAAGCCCCCTCAAAACAAGATGCAACAATAAAAGATCTGTGTTTTCTCTGCCGGCTAAATGAGCCGATTCATGTGAACGGAAAATAAGAAGTGGCAAATTAACAGATGTTTGTGGGTTCCATGGTACACATGGTGTTTATGTGTTAACCAGAAGATCACATTAATCAGGATTGTTTGAAAAGGATTGACTGGTCTGCAGTTTTTGTTCTTTTTCCACAAAATAAAGGAAGCCTTGTATAATTTACGTTTGTTTGGAAGTTGGTCAGAAACAATCTGTGTAAGCTAATTAGACATACTTGATGTTATAAGACAGTATGTTTTCAAAATAACATTTAATCCTGCATATCCAGCTACCATTAAAAAATACGTACTTTCAAAATGGAAAAAAAATCTTACAATTACCGATTTGTCTTTGGTTCTTTGAGCTAAATATGTGCACATAGAACAAATATCTTAAATAGTAGGGATGTACATATTTCTACGGTAACGGTATATATAAAATGCTTCTTTTTTTTTACATAAAGATCAGCATGAATCTGTAAGATTAAGTAATATTTATCAAATATTAAGGGATCCAGATAAATAGACTGATGTTACATACATTCTAACTGTTTAGTGATCTCTATGAGTGTACCTACATGGATGTTCTGTACCCACTGTTCTGATCAGTTCATTTGTTTGGTCTGCTGTGCTATCAGACATGGAAACAAGTGACATGGCTGTTTGTATTGTTACCTTTAATGTCTAAACATCTGTTTTCTAACAATATTGTACCTGTTTATAATAAAACCAGCACAGGCATGTAGAGCTAGACCACCCATAGCAGTTACCCAAACACCCTCCTTACTCACAAAAAAAAGAAAAGAAAGTCACTAGTCTTAATTATATCCATTCTCTGGGCGTGTCTTTCTTCCCAAAACAGACATCTGAGGAGCCCCCCCCATCAACAGGCCACAAACCTCAGCGAAGCCTTATGGAAAGAACTTTTTGATGAACACATCGACTTTAGATGAAAATAAACCTATTCAGTACTTTGTGGAGTTATTTTTTACTGAGGTTACAAAGACAATTTGACTTTATATCATTGACTGTAGGATTATCTCCTCCTGTACCCTGAGACCTTTAAATGATCCCAGACTTTTACAGTTCCTGCAGAGGTTGTTTTGATAACAAAATCTGCAGGACGTAATACAAAAGTGGGCGAGTTGTTGCCATATCAAAAGAGGTGGTATGAAATATCATCAATATCAAAATCTGTATAAAGCCAGTCCCTTGGATGTGCGCGCACACACGAACATTGTAATAAAAAGGCGTCTGCTCATGGGAGGAGGTTGTTGTGACTGCACTGTTCTTTTCATGATCTATAATCAAGCTGGCAGTACGAGGGGGGCAACAAAGCGGTGTCCGCATTGAGAAAATAAAGACATAAAGAGATGGAGTCTACAGGCAGGAGCACAGCAGCTATCTGCCAGATACTAGGGCTTTGATCCTCTGCCAACTTCTCTCTTTGTTGTTTTTCTCAACTACTGTGATGTTTAGTTGAGATGCAAAGAGATTCCAAGCATCCACTAAGGAGGACTCCTAAAATCTGTAATGCTGCAAAAAATAAAAGCACCATCCAAAAAAAAGCTAATTTAAGATTGACGAGGCAAACAATAAACAAAATGGCCATCCCCCTGTCTTCTGTTTCCTTCCTAATCTTTTCAAAATGATATCCACCAAGGATCAAGGGGTTAATCTGCATCTGTTTGTATTTTAGTGGAGATGCTATCGAAGGCCATTTGTTCCAAGCTGCGAGGCTAATGACCCTGAGCCGACAGAAGGTAAGTAACCTCATATATTCTCGGCGGCTGAGCTAATATCACACACACACACACACACACACACACACACACACACACACACACACACACCTAATATTACACCTGTCTTCTTAAGTAAATGCACGATGTGTAGTGTTTTGTCATCAATAAGTCAATACCACATTAATTCCGAGACATTGGTATTATTACAAGGAGTTCCATCATCAAGACAGCTAGAAGCTTCCTTTGGCCTTTTACCTGCAGTGTGTACATTTTGTCAGTCAGATGATTGCGAAAATATCCTGCATCTTTTGGGATTAAACCACCATTAATCTTACAAAGATAAAAAATCCAACACGTTACACCATTAAAGTTAATCGATTGCTGTTGAGAAGTAACCTAATTATTCTTAATAATAAAGGCCAGTAGAGGTGTGCATTTCAACATCAGTTTCAGGGTTGTGTGCATTCTTTATCGTTGTCGAAAACAAAGCGGGTTCAGCTGAGTGTGGATGCCAAGGCAAAGTGAGGCTGAGTGAAATCTGCTGTGATGGGAAGCAGCAGGGAGTCCACTTCTCTGCTTTCATTTGATTCAAGTCGAGCCCGGCTGCGTCTTTCACTCCTCTGGCACGCACACACAAATGTATGCGTATGTTTGTGGAACAAGTGAATGGGTGCAGAAATATATACTATACTGCATTCTGTGTAGATGTATGTGTGTATACATGTGTTTGTGTGTGACAGTAATACCGCCAATGGCAGACTAATGATAGGTCTTATCAACTCCCAGCAGTGAATGCAGGCCTTTGTCTCCTCTTGGGACGCATTATGGAAAGCTTAGGGGGCTGCCGTTGACTCCTTTTCATTCTCCCATCCACTGATAAAACCTAGCAGAAAAAAGCTCCTGTAGCGTGGCAAGTTGAGACACAATACACCTCATTGCCCCTGCTATCAAAATAAGCAAAAGTTGTTCGCACGGCTCATTAACTCAGAATAAGTCACTGACAAAAGACAAGAATGTACTCTGGAAAACAAAAATCACAATACCTGAAATTACTATTGTTATTTTTCTTATATACAGCACATAGGATGTCTAGATGAAAACCACAAAATGCCAATGAAAAGTGGACAGTTAAGGTTTAGAAATACAATTATTATGATATACAAGCTATATTTAAGTTGTATTACTTTTGACTATATGACATTGTTGTTGTCATTTCAATTAGTTTAAGGGGTTATGTACTCAAAGATTAAAGGATAGAACACATTTTTCTTCTTTTGGTGAAAAATGTAATTTTTCCCATCAACCCACAGATGCATCTGTCAAAACTCTAGAATCTGGTTAGCCTACATATAACATATCTGAATGTAGTTAACGGCTTTCATTTTGAAAGGGACTTTTTCATCTGCTCTTTTATAACTCGTGCTCCCAAACATTTCATAAGATATTGATATTAATTGCGTTTTCCATTCAAATCAATCTGCAGTCATGTTTACAATGATTGGAGTTTCATAGTGTCAACTAAAATTATGCAGCTTTCCTCTGCCTCTGAAGACTTTAGTAAGTTACTGTGCTTACTTTAGGCTTAGCAAGCATTACTTTTCACATTTTACAGAGTTCTGCATAAAGCTCATAAGTAAGTGTAGACATGTATACAGTAGTACTGCCTAATCAATAAAAACTCTATATTCTGAGTTATTTCCTTTATCTCAATGGGGGACTTCCAGCAATGGCTCATAAATGACTTATATTTTTACTCTCCACCCTGTCTTTAATTTTGTCCTCTTAATCCCCTTTCGGTCTTTCTCCATTTACCTTTATTTTCCAGCCAGAGCCAGGTAACTCTAAGGGGTTCAATAAAGTACAGAACTTTTCCCTCTCTCTATATTCACATTCTTGAATTACATTTTAAGCAAAAGAACATTAAAAGACACTCAAACATTTCTTGAAATGCTCATAGCAATACAAAAAAATAAATAACTTGATTGGCAAGCAGAGAGAATTTAGAGGCCTCATTTAGTAAGCAGCTAGGGGCCAGACTCCCCCCATCCAATCCATCAAAGCAATCTAATAAAGACATTCGAGGCATTGCTCTATTGGCCCTCACCCTGACTTCTGTTTATTTCATATTTCTCCAGTTTCATAGTTGTTCTCTCCTTCTTGGTTCTCTCACATGGATAATGATCTCATTCTGACTTTGAAATCATCTCCACCAACATATCTTTCCCTTTCTCATTTATTCCTACACTTTAAGAATTTGTGGCTGCCCACCATTTTCTTTCTCATATTTAATTTCCTTATCTCTGCTCCGTCATGTCCATCTATCCATTATCCATCCATCTGTCCATCCATCGTTCTATCCATCCATCCATTTTGAAACTGTTGTGGCTTCAATTCAATGAAAGCTCTCATTATAATCTTTAATCCTCTGATGGTTGGTGGGTGTCTTGGCTGAGGGGGAAAAGGCTTTGATAGAGGAGCACTCTGTTGTTCTACGCTTTCCTTTGTGTGGACACAAATGTTAGCATTTTCAACACTTGTCCATCAGGCTTTTATGCCTGTTCCCCAACTAGGGTGTTTTCTACAACCCTCATCATTGTAAACCATCAGCATAATTTGCGGGTAGTTTTGTGTGAGCGTGAAACTGCCAATTACTCGCTCTGTCCCTGCAGTCATGCAGTGAATCAATATGAGTTGACGGAGTGACTCATTTGCCTGTCATTTCTCATATGCATTTTTTGAAATATGAAACCGTGTGACACATTGTGGCTTTAGCCTTGTAACCCCACCTTTGTATACACAAATGGACACTAACAGTGTACCACAGTGGTTCTAGAGTCCAGTAGCTTTTTAAAGCCAGCTTAGACAGACTTGGCTGCTCCTGAAAACCCTTTTTCCCCCCGGAGCAAAGGGCAGACACACTTGAGGAAAAAGGGGGGAGAAGAAAGAGCAGTTGCATGTCTTGATTCTTGCTTACAACATCCTCCATCTTTTTCCTTTCACGTTTCCCCAGAGTAGGCTACGTTTGCATAATTTGACCAGTTCCAAACACGATAGGGGTTGTGTGTAGCTGTACAACTTGTGACTCCACTAATCCCTGTTGGTTGAATCAAAAGAATGACGAAAAAAAGAAGGCAGTTCTACCTCGAACGAGTTCAAAATTCACCTCCATTTAAAACCAGCTTTGTCTTGTCAAACTGGGGTGATTTGGAGATTGTAGAGAATTTCCACCATTACAAATGAGGCCTTTGTAAGTCCCTTGGAGGGTAGATTCCCATTTTTTTTCAAACCATCATCCTGGGCCACGACAACCCTGACAATCTCTTTTATCATCATAATCCCCCGTCTTTTAAAATGCTGGAACTTTGATTGGTGGTTATGAGCAGTAGAAAGATGGGGGCGCACATCAACAATGTAAGTACCATAGAGAACTGAATTTGGAAAATATTAGAAAAACTGAACATTGTATGGCTCAGGCAGACTGAGTCAAAGGAAGAAAAGCTAGAAGAGAGAATTTAGTTTGACTGGCCTCAGATGAAATGAAATGAGTTGAGCCAAACTGAAAAAAGCTGTATTGAATTTCTTCTGTCTTTTGCAGAATGTCATTGTGAGATAAAGTTCCTATTGCACAGCAGAAGTTGTAGGAAAAGGACATTTGGACTGGCAGGGCACCCCAACGAGGCAGTAAGTATTATTTTCTGTCACAGCTTGAATTACATAATTGCCAATGTTACAGGAAAGATATGTAATGTTAATCCTGTTAATGCCCACAAATGCATTCCCTTTTGGTTGTATCATGATCGTTTCTTTACCTATATCCAAATAAATTGTTGAAGCTTTTATAATCTGTGTTTTAGGGAATGAAGAAAGAAGAGAGGATGACAAGAACTGAGAAAAAGACAATTTTATTTTCTCACACCTCCTCTCCTCTTCAACCATCCTCCTATCTGTGTACGGTGGCAGCCATTCTGGCCATGATATCAATTATTTACTGCTGCTTTCAGGCTCACACAGAGAGAGTGAGGAGATAACTCTGAGAGACTGCTCGCTTTGGGAACCCCTGAAACACAGTTAAAACAATACGGTGGCTCTTTTCCCAGTTCCAATCCTCTGTTTTGCCTTGTGGCCATGCTGTTCCCCTCAGTGCTTTTTTAACTCCTTGCATCCCGGACATGTTTGACTTTTTTTTGTAATTGTAATGGAAACTGAAAAAAACAATACAAAATGGATTCTCTGTGTTCAGAGGCAACAGTGACAGACTTTTATCCGTTATAACATATTCAGAGTATGTATGCAATGTTGTGTATATTGCCTATTTAATATCAAAGGAATTACACAAGACAGACAAAAGAGAAGTTGAGGATGCAGTGTACTCAGCCAGGATGGTTGTTTTTACCAGTTTTTACATAGTCCCATTTAAACACATAATACATACACACACACACACACACACACACACACACACACACACACACACACACACACACACACACATGCATGAATACACCAAACCCTTCCAGCTGAGTCAGGTGGAAGGGCAACAGAAGACAGAAAGACACAAGACAATTTATAACCCCTGGAAAAACTGAGCTCTCTTACCTCTTTTTCATCACCTTTGTCTTTTCTCCATTTCATCTTCCCTTCCTTCCCTCTGCGGTGAAGGCTAACGCTGCTAGCGTTCATTCTGTTTCTTCTTCTGCAAGCTCCTTTAATGGACAAGAAACGAAAAGAAAGTGGAAACAAAACCATTAAAAATCGGTTAGAAAATGAAGGAATCAGCGCCACACATACAAAAATATAATACTCCATTCATAGAAATAGGCCTTGTGGGATTCCAGTTCCAATTGCTGCTAAAATTCAGTTATCTTTCAAAACAAGTTTCTTACACTCCATGTTGAAATCATGTGAACCACATTGGGGGAAAAAATCGATGCAGTTGATGACCTAGAGAAGCAAGTGCTTACAAAAATGTTTTCAGTCATTTTCGTATGTTTTTTTTTAATCTTCCCAGGTGTTGGGTAACTATTTTAGAAGCCAACCTAAAGATCCTGAGCAATGCTGAGCAACAAACACCAGTGTTGTATTTGAAAAGTTGAGCAAGATTCCTCAATGTAAAGAAGAGGTTCAAGTTGGGGTCAGAGCACTGACTAGGAAACCAATGGCAAATAGGAGCCATAGAATGATATGATACGTTTCTATATGGTGGAATAAATGCCATTTACAGGTTTGCTTAAGTAGATCTGCTTGTTACTGTGTCCGATTCATCCTTCAGTTTTTGTTTGTGGAGGCTAAATTGAGGCGTAAATGTGCTGCTCGGAGAATGGTTTTATCGTGGCCTTACAGCTTCATAAATTGACAGGGTATGTGTTTATGTGTGTGTATAGGTGGTGTCTTAGTGCACTGATGAAATTGCTAACAGCTGTGACAGCAGTGATCGTGGAGACACACCATCTCATTTCTAGCATACAGCTACACAGATAAAGCACGCGGGTTAAGCAAATATTGTACAATGGCCAGGAAACAATGAACCATGCCTCCCCTATCTCTCCCACTCACACACTGTAGCGTTAGTGAGAGTGTGGCAACTGTGTGCTACTGTGTGTGTGTGTGTGTGTGTGTGTCTGGATGCATGTGAAAAAATGACTGGCACTGCTTGTCCTCTTTATTACTGTGAACAGAACAGACTCCCCTGCTCCCCTCCCATTCATTTTTAATCTCTATTCTTAGTGATGAACCTCCTCAGTCACACTCTTGCTCCGTCTGTACCGCACCCCCGCCCCCCCAGCCTGGTGTCCACCATCCGCAAAACCCCAGCGAGGCAGCAACAGTGCTCCTTTGTTTGCCCTCCTCCCCCTCCTCTCTTTTTGCCCCCTCGCCCTGCCCCGGACGATGCTGGTTGGCGGGGACGGAGGCATGCCTTGACAGGAACGCCGGAGGAGAGGAAGGGGGGGAACGAAAGATAGAGGGAGGGAGTGATAGGGGAGAAACATGTAAAAGGGAGGAGGAGATCATATTGGGGGGGGGGGAATAGGGGCCTTAGTAATTTTTCAGTCATTCTTTCATTCCTGTACTTTTCTGTCCATTCAGCACTCACATGAGAGGGGGCTTCTCAGAGTGTGTTTGTGGGGAGGAGGAGTTGGGTTTGGAGGGGACTACACCCTTCTTGAACCCACTGACTGCATCATACCAAGAAACTGAAGAGTTGTTTGCAGAAGTATATTTCTGGTTTTGACTAGAAGGCTAATTATAACAACAAAGTAAAGAAGGAGAAGAGAAAAGAAAATCTGGATTTTTTTATGCTGTGAAGAACAAACACTCTAAAAAAAGAAACATATCTTTCCTTGGCTTTTCCATGTCATGGTTTGAAATGTGTTTGATATTTCAACAGGCAATTTGTAAAGTACACAACTTGTAATTTCTCATTTATGAAAAGAAAATACTCGACCTGCCCACTGAGGTTATTCAAGACATAATTTTAGCCGTTTCATTCTGGTACCACTGCTAGGGCGGCAAACCCAGTTCCCTAATGGCATAAATACTGCTCTTCTAATGGGGCCTGGGGCATGTCTCATTTGAAAGTAGGGAGACAGCAAAGTAGATCAAAACCTTTTCCCCTTGGCCAAAAAAACGTTCACACACACTGGAAGCGCCAAGGCAATCGGATCATTAACCCCAACTAATCTACAAACATTATCTTTATAGAGATCTTTGTCCAGCTTAGGCGTACGCACAGCCAAGATGTGCTAATTCACCCTCTGTGCTTGTGTGACAGTTATATGTTTTCTTTGTAAGCTATATGTGTGTCAGCACTGCTGTGCATGTCATGTCTCTCAGTGTGCATGCGTGTACACTTGTGTTTCATGGCTGCCTGCGTCTACAGTGTCTACCGTGACAGACAGAGAGAGAACATGACAGACGGCAAAAAAAGAGTTTGAGCGCAAGTGCAAATGTGTGCACAAATGTGTGTGTGCTGTGACTGCCAGCGATGCAGCACACAGCCTTGATCTAGACTGCTGCTTCTCTCAGACTACCCGCTGCGTCTGCTTCATCAATCAATAGGACAGATGAAGTCAGACTCCTGCCGTGCTGTGAAGAAAAACTGTGGCTTGCGTGTGTGATTGTGTGTGTGTTTCTATATGCAAGGAGGATGAATGCCCTCGGGGTGAACGTGGCAGACATGATGCAAAACATTCAAGGCTTCCTGCCCAAACAATAATCACCCACATCAGATTAGCTTTTCTGTACCACTAGAAATAGTCAGACTCCATTTGAAAGCTGACTTACTTAGGCTGATGAAAAGTGATTTAACCTTACCTCCTACAACTTCTTCCATGTCTCAGAAGATGTCACACAATAAATATGTTTCTGTGTGTCAGCTAAATTCAATTGACTTCAATCATTTTCACACCTCTTGAGGTTGTGGGAAGAGATGCAACTACATTTGGAAACATTATCCACCAAAATCCCACCGAGATTGAACTGATTTGATACTACATACTGCTTCTTCTACAATGTAATATAAGACCTATACAAAAAAGGACCATTAAACATGGTTCCATTGGTCAAATCAGACTATCACCGTGAATCCAAGAAAACTAAATTGCGCACAAACATCCCTTTGATGAAACAAAAAATTAAAGGGCTTATTAAAAAAAAAATCTGGGTAAAAGGTTTTGGTTTTGGAAAAAACTTAAAAGTAAAAAAACAGAAATCAAGTCAACTTGTGATATTTTTGTATTGTTTGAAACATTCCCTGTCAAATAAAAAGCCTGTGAGAATCTGAACAAACACAGACCATAAACACCTAAAACTGCCTCTCACAAGTGCGGGAAGGCTAAAATGTTAAAAATACCTTGTTGGGTGTCATCTCCCGGTGTATTTAATCATCTGCAAAGAAAGGTACGCCCTTGAAGAGGCACATTATAAGCACTTGTATATTGAGGATGAGGATTGAGTCATTGAAGTGTACGTTTGTGAGTCAAAATGAGCAGCAGTTCAACTTGAAAATAGCTGAGAAAGAGAGACTAAGTAAGTATAGTGTTGCCATAGTTCACAATTTGATTCAGAATAAAGCCATTTTGTCAAACTCTTTTTAGAAATATGGTTCAGCAGTAGAGGCTTTGTCCATGTTTGGACATTTTTGTAGAAAAGGATTTGAATACAGATAATTTCAAAACACTTTACTGTATTTTAACTAGTGTTTATGGAATTACTGGCAAGCGGTCAAAGAAACCTTTAATTTGTATTGCATTTAGATTTTTTTTTTTTTTTTTTTTTAAATGGTCATTAGAGCAATGCAATCAAGACCATCATTTAATTTCACGATTCAAAGTGAAGTAATTAAGATTGAAATTGTAAAAGTAACTGTACAGAAATACTAGGAAACTAGATTTGGGATTATTTTGTCACTGGGAAGAGGAATGTGTGTAATTTCCATGCTCCAAATGGCCAAGTGGCTTGAATGCAAAGCCACAGCAGCCATTTCTCCCACAGCGCCTACATCCTCCAAAACTGTTTTGGGAGCTTTTGCGAGTAGCAAAACTGTTTTATTTTAATTCAATATAACTTTGGATATTTGGCCATGGCTCAGTGCTCTCTTTGTGAGCCATTGTGTGGAGATGAATGAATCTTTCTTCCAAACTTCATAAAGAGATGCACTGTGTAAAACCATAGAAACACCTTTGAGACCATTAAACTACACTTACCCTTTGAGATCATTTCAAACTACCTTTGAGGCACCAGAAATAGGCCTCTTTATATAAACTGCTAAAGCAAGTATTAAGCTTTAGATTCAAGGTAACCCCTACTATACTGTTACACTTGTACAGTATATCACAGATCTTCTTTGATGAATGGAAATATTTTATAACTTTTTTTCTTAAGATTCCTTTCAACAGCCTTTACATGAGAACAAGAGTGCATTAGTGATAGCATTGGAACCAATGCCATAACAGCCCATTCTACAAATTAGAAAAAAAACTAGATAAGCAAAGATGTAAGATTTGAGAAATCATGTGACGCAATTGTTTAAAAAAAAAAAAAAAGTGTTTAGAATAGAAAATAGGCAGCAATGCACAAATAAAACATTGTAACAGTGTACGAAATAATTGGCTTTATAGTTTCTCTACCCTAAAATGAAGTTAATTAAAATAAAAAAGATCCAGACATGAAATCCTGTGTCAGTTCATAACCCGAGATACCCTAATTGCAAAGGCGCATTGTGTGATTTGACATTGTACCAACGCCTGACGCTCAAACAAAGGAACCGGTGCAGGCCTCGAGGGGGCAGATGACAAACACTCCTAAACCAAGGCCAGACTAATCCCCCGCCCTCCACCCCGCGAAACCCCACAACAAACCCATAGCGGAGGGGGAATTATTCAGAACATATTAGGGAGGTGAAGGAGGCCAGGCACTGAGGGACTCTCCCCACTTGGCTGTCCTAATCATTTGAGAAAACCTCTCCAGAGGCAGACCCCCGACCAATCCCCTTCCCGCCTACAAACCCCAACCCCCTAACGCATGACCCAGACACGTCCAGGAGAGTTTACAAGGGCGGGCTGCCATGAAGTGGGGAAGCTGACCAAAATGAACAGCCCCCCGGGAGCTGTTCTTTAATTGTCCATCTTCTTGGTCCAAATTAAACAAGCTTGAGCACATTCAAGTAACCATACTGACACACACCCCTCCCATCACCACCACCGCA